TAAGATTGGCACTCGACGAGCGCCTTCGTGTCGATGGGACGAGCCTCGAATGTCGGGTACCCGTCCTCGTCAAGAATATCATCCCCCTCCCTCGTGACCCACCGGGCAGGGAAGAAGCTGTTGACGTACTTGCAAAGGACAGCATAGGCCTCCTCGTCCTCGGCGCTCATGCTTCCCGCAGGCATATGATAGTACCCGGTGTCATGGTCGTAATAGCCCTAGCACCAATGTATCGGGAACTTAGAAATGCGCCCTACTACCGGACGACCCTCAACATCCATGAGGGGCTCCCCGTCCGCGTCGACCACCGCGGTTTCCGATTCGAACAAGGAATCCAAGGCAGTTTAGGTGACCAGCTGCAGAACATATCATTTATCCTTGATGCCCCTCACCGAATCCATATACATCCTGAACAGCCTCTTCGACTGTTTCAGGGATACCCAACTGTGCCTGCCTCCTCGAGACTGACGCTGCAGGTGAAAGACCCTGAAGAAAAGGGGAATCGTCGCCCCGATCCTCAAGAAACGACACGTTAACTCGAACGCCCGAAGGAAAGCGATCGAATTAGGATGAAGCTGCCAAGAGGCCAAGTTCAGATGGCAGAACACCCCGACTTGAAAATCGCTGAAGGGGAGCTTAAGACCGAGATCCCTGAACACGATTTCGTACATAGGAAACCCGTACTCAGTAAACTCCGAGCAGATTCGCGCATCGACTGACGGCCTCATCACCATAAAATTCTTTTGGAAACCTGGCTGACTACCGCCATGCTCGACGACAGTATATGCATGCCGACTACGCCGACAGTATGCCGAGGCAATCCTCCGGGGCTCGGCGCCCACCCAATCCAACGTGGGGTCATCGATGGTGTCGGCTAAAGTCACGTTCTCTTTGGTACTTGGGTCCTCGACTTCATTTTGCCTCGAAGATTCCGGTTCGTCGACCATTTACCTGCAAAGCACAGGAAACCGGTGAAATTCGAGAGAAAATCCGCGCGCTCGCCACAGAGACAGGAAGTAGTACACAACAAGCCGAACACGGACACCCCAGCCCCGACCAGGCATCGGGGATAACAAGGGAATAGCACGAACGCCCTGGGAGAAAAACATGAATGACTCGAGCAAGGTCCTGACTTCGCTTGCCCGACACTAGAGTACCGCGAGGAGGCTACCCTACATACTTCCTAAAGGATCAGCATCCCGGCCAATCCATGGGTGCGCCGACCAAACCCATGAATGTCACGGGCAGTATCGTGACTCATATGCCTAAAACTATGAACGTCACAGACAATATCATGATTCATACGCCTAAAACTATGAAGGTCACGGGCAGCATCGCGAGTTATGTACCTAAACTATGAGTTTACCGGGCACAATCATGAATCTACCGGGCACTACTCCCAGATATGGGTTTCTAACATCAAGAATAACGTCAAAACTACCTACAACGAAGAAAAACAGGAGTAACAAACACTTACTTGGAAGAAAAGAGTACGAGTGACGACGGTGGAAAGAATCGACGACGAATGGTACGGTGATTTCACAGCGTTGCAGCAAACGACGGCAGCGGAATCAGGGAAAGAGAGAGGAGCGTGAAGGGGAAAAAAACAAATTATGGGCCCAAGGGTCTTGTTTATAAGGATGACGTGGAATTTGGAACGTCGTACCGGGGAAACCCGAACCTCTGCATCCTCGACACCTACTCCCCTAGGCAATGATGGCCCTAGTCGCTAGGGTGGCGCTACAGTTCCCAAGGACTGCGCCATCCACCCGTGTATCCCCGCGAGATACGCCTCGAGCACGCGTCGAAAAGGCAAAACCCTGGTCCGCGCATCAGATCCCCGTGGTAAAGGCGAGCTGAAGTCAAGTCATAACTCCTGCCCCAGGAGCAACGACTTGGGGGGCTCCTGTTCTAGACTGGGCCCACCTTGGCCCAAAGCGCAGATAAAGGCCCAATCCAAGCAAACTCCTCGGTGAATGCTCACAAACGGACCACTGCCAACGTGCCCGACCACAGACTGTAGCCACTATGCCCGCCATTGCCCGCGACACGCAGTGTCTCCGACCGGGGGAACTTCAGCTCGAGTCCTGCTCGAGCACCCTCCCTGTAGGGCAGATTCTGTCCATTCTGACCGTTATCGAATCCTCTAAGCTCCGGAAAGACCGCGTCTTCGTCCCTCCTTATTCTTCGCAGAGCACCACCAGGAAGGGGACCACGTGCGGGGCCCCACTACGCACGTAGAACCTGACAGTTCCTTTATTGGGCCAGTTCTGGTCAGCCCAATGAGGAAACCTTGGCCCAGCGCTGGAGGCTATAAATACCCTCTGTTTCCAGAGGGTCAGATATTCATCTATTACACACTTATATGTTTTTGCCTACTCATTCCGTCTCTCATTTCAGCATCGGAGTGTCTTGCAAGTGCCCCCTATCTCGCTCAAATTCAGCTAAAGCCAGCCGTGACAGTCTAAATCTGATCCGAAAAGATCAGTTACCGTTGGTGAATCTCTTATGACCTCCTATGAATCTCTTTTGTATTCGTAAAAACATATTATTAGTTAAAAATTTATTTTTGATCTTTTTCAAATTAGCTTGAATAATCACTTTCTCCAACTTCTGCGATACATGTTTACTCAGTAACATAAATATCTAAACTAACCATCATTATAATTAAAATTCTAACATTTATTAAAGTATATTCAAAAAATATAATTTAGCGAGTTTTAAAATAAATAAACAAATCATTTAAAATTTATTATTATTATTAATTATACTTTTTAAACACGTACAAATTACACAATAAATTTTTTTATAAAATTAATAATTCAATTTTTTATCATAATTTATTAAAAAAGTTATGATTGATTTTAAAAATTATTTTTCATATAATATACGTTATCCGACTCTAACAGTAATTGGTGAATGTCACCCTCTATAAATTTGTTGGTGAATGTCACCCTCTATAAATCTTTTACAAACATATTAAATATATCTCAAGATGTTGCGACTACGTGCATATGTCAATGTTTCTCCTACCGTTTTTAACTTTAAAAAATAGTTTTTTTTTAATATTTTTAAAAATAGATTCTACAAATTCGTTTTTAAAATATTATAATATTTTTTCTAAATTAAAATACTAATTTTAACATCTTATTATATAAATGTATATTATTGAAGAACAAAATCATAATTTTTTCAAAAAAATATATAATTTTAAAATAATTTTAATGAAAATTTATTTGAAATGATTTTAAAATTAAATAATTTTTTGAAATTTTGATATTTAAAAAAAATTTCAATAAAAAAATAAATATTTAAAATAATATTATAAGAATAACTATTCAAACTAAACTTTTATTTGAAATTTTTATATAAAAAATTTTATAAATTTTTTTGTATAAAATTATAAAAATTATTAAAAAAACACAAAATTATATAACACTATAAAAATCATTAAATAAAAAATCTAAAACAAACATATTAATAATCTTCTCCAAAAAAAAAATCACGTATAATCTTACGTCCTTTATCAAACGACTTGTTGTGTCATTGTCATAGACGAAAAAAAACTTTTAAATTCATAATAATTTTTATGCTAAAACAATTTTTTAAATTTCAATTGAATACAAACTTAATATATATCATAAGAATAATTATAGGAAAACGTTATATAATATTCTTTTCCAAATGTTATTTTTATGTGAATCTTACCATTTTATATAAATATAATATTATTTAAAGAGTACATTTTTCATATAAATTTTACCTAAATAAATCAAATATTAAAAAGAGTGTGTTTGAATAAATACAGTTAGCCCACTATTATTTAAAAAAGAAATATGTAATTTAAGTAGGTCAAAAAGTTCATTCCATATAACAACTTTATAAAAAATTAATTGTAAAATATACATTAAATTTAAGTGTCTTTATTGTAACAATTTTTTTGTTTTAATTTATGTTTTTCATCCGTTTTTATTTATTTTTGGTTGAAGTTAAACATTAATTTTTTTTGTAAAAAAATGAATTTTCTTTAATTATTAGTATGATATCTTTGCGTTCGCACGAATACTGATCTGACACTCTCTTTGAATTAAACAAAGTTAATTTATAATATGTTCAAATAATTCATATATCAATAGAAATCCTTATAACAAAACATACTCTAATAATAATAATCAATAGAATGCAAAAATAATATATCTAATTCTCAAACAATTATTAACTAAAAGTACCTGAATATAAATGACTATAATTTTATCCTATAAATGAATAATACCATGCGGTTCAATCAGCAAGAGTTGTTGCAGTATATAAATAATGTTTGTTGTATATATAAGACTATACTCTCAAGTTTTTCAAGACTCAGTTGTTCAAACGGTAAATTTTATAATGTTTCACAATTTTGAAAGTTAAACTCGCAGAGGAAAAAACCAAAACGTCATGGTTGAAATAGTGATACTTAACCCACCAAAATCAAATATTACTACTTAGTAGAAGAATAATCAAATTAAACTGTCAAATGACTTTCTTTAGTTTATGTCATTCAGTTTAGTCACTGGGTAGTGGGTTATTGTTAACAAATCTACCATTTCCATAGCTACCAAATGATTAATATCAATAGAGACAATAGAGCATAACATGTGTTTATTTCTACACCATACACTATTGTTCTAGCCAGTATACATCACAGTAGCATTTGTTTATTGATAATATTATTATTGATACAACTCAATTCACACGAAGTCTACATCACAGTAGAAATTAAAATTCTAATCAAGGTTTCATGCGGTTTCTTCTTTTTGCTACTACTCAATTTTGGTCTTTTGGGATGTTGTTCCGGAGAGTCACCATCAGCAAGGGCTGCCAACAAATTGAAGGATAGATGAATATTCTCAGAAAATCAATGACAGGAAGTGCATATTTTTGGATGTTTGAAGTTGTTTTTCTCATACCATTCGGCAATTAAGTTCTTTAAGGCACAATTTGGTGCTAATTAATGATGTTCAAGTGGTTTCCCTGTCTTTGGAAAAGAGTTGTGATTGGATTTGAATCACTTCTCTATGCTTTCCCTTTGATAAAAACAAACACACACAATCACAAAAAAATGAGTAAAGTTAGTTTTGTTAGCATCATGCATATATGTGGAAAAAATGATTTTTTTTTAAAGAACTATGTGACTATACCTGTTCAATTGCAACAATAACAGGATTTGTCATGATTTCAAGTGTTATTGGACATAGAAACTCATGAGGGATGTTCAAAGAAGTGCTTCTTCTAAACATCTTATTGGGCATGACAGGATCATCATCTATAACAACCCCAGTTTCTTCCATACATGTAATCCTTTTGTATTGGTTGAGAAGACCAATTATTTTCCGTGTCTCTCTTCTTGGTGTCCCTTTCTTTCTCTAGCAAGGTATCCAACAACAACTGTTTCTACCTCAAGATCCTTAACACTGTGAAGTTCCAACTTTTTCGCAAGCCTTTCGACAATAGCACTGTAGGCATTACAATCATCTTCGTCGGAGAACACAACCATCATATCCATTGCTAACTCTATGTCTTGTGTATTTGTCCTTCTCCTTGCCCTCCTGAGTTACATGTGCATTAGCTCTAGCTGAATAAAGTAACAATATATAACATAATCTCAATATTCACATCAAGAGTACCAAAACTGAATTGAAATAGAAATGATTAAAATCGAGTTATCAAAGTTCAACAGAGAATCAGGTTTTGTTGCAATCACATTTTCCACGCATTAATCCATTCATCACATTAATAGTCAGTGGATCAAAATGCGCTTATTTCTACATCTTAATTCTTCGATTATTAGGTTGTCCTGATGGTAAGAACATATTAATTTATCAAATTGTTCTCTAAAAGATCAATCAGTGTGACAATAAATGTCATTTTTTGTTTTGATTTGATGAGAGAGAAAATACTTACAAATCATTCGGCTTGGTTGACTTGGATAGCATTGACGTTAATGTTTTGTGATTCATAATATCTACATGACAGTTTCTCTGCCGCACATATTTATGTTCACCTTAAAAGCAATTTAAGCACATTGCCATCAAAATTTAGTACACCATCTTATGTTCACATTCGTGTTCAAATCAATTCAAACACTCAATGTCAATGGAATCCAAAATAAAAGGGCATGTAATAACCAACACAGTTTTGAAAACTCATGACAAACTTAAAATTAAACCAATTCAAGTACTTGTAACACAATTATGCACTTGTAATCAATGTTTGAATACAAAGTCATTTAATATCGGACATAATTCAAGCGATTTGAAACAACAGCAACAACAAGGAACGGATCTAACACACCTATAGCAAAACAACAAACAACTTCCATCACCTCGTAGCAAACCTACGAATTTCAGCATCAGTACAAGGAGAAGGTGAGTAAGAAGGAACCGTACCTACGCGCTACCACTGATAGAGCTCGAACTTGCCATTTCTGTCCAGGTAAATTGAAGCTACTGATTTACCGTTTTTGTTAAGACTCTTGAACATCCCTTGTAGTAGCCAAGTCCATGTCGGCTCTTAAAATATTTTTATCCAAAGCTCTATAAACACAATTTTGAATAGTATAGTTTGTCATCCATTACCTATAATAATAATCCTGTCAATAGATTTAGATCTCATATGATCTAAATAGACAAATGTTGATCACCCTAGTGAAAATTATAATTATACTTCAGCATGCAAAATTTAAATAATTCAAGACAAGAAAAGTTCCACTTAGAATTGAATTCTAAACACTAAAATGTAGTAAACTAACTGTATAGATATAAATATTACTGAGACTGAAACAATATTGGTGTTTTCCACTCTGCACATCCCCATCATAATTCTTGCAGGCCCATACATAGCCTCCGTCACTTTTAACAGCATACGTAACCATATCATATATAAGACGGTGTTCATACCTAATAATAAAAATTCAACAATGTGAATTAACAATATATTGACAATATGCAATATCCATGTTCAGTTTGCAAATCGGTTTTTAAAGTTCAACTATTTAAAGATTAGTACAGTTCTGAGAAACTACCTTAAAACTTAATGAGCAACTCAATTAGAGGTGACATATATCATGATATCTATATGATATCTCTGTTACTTCATATGTATCAACAGCAGTGTAATAAAAATGGGCGACATGAGATGTATGCATTATTAACAATACCTATTATTGCCTCTGTATCAGCAACAATGCCTGCTCCCCAACAAATTGTCTTATACACTGATCGATGCAAGTGTACGTAATAACCACCCTTAAAAAAGGTCCTAATAATCAAATCCATGAAAAGAAACCAATTAGATTAGCATTAGTCATAAAAATGCACCACAAACTCAACAAATAAAGAAAATGCCACAACCAAAAAGAAACAGAAAAATTGATTTTTCATACCTATCCTTGGACTTATATTTTGAGGAACACTGGTATTATAGTTATCAAAGTGAGATACATCACAAACAAGTGAACGTATCGAAATGGAACTTTTAGCACATGGCCAGTTTCTTCATGAACGACTTCCCTGTAAACATAACAACATCAACGAAATTGCATAGTCCAAGATGATAACTGATAAGTCTATTCACCCTTGATTTATGTTTTTAATGTTGTAATTCATGTTCAATATATATGATTATCGAGAAATTCATACCTTGACAATCTATTCCGGGCAAACGCCTGTGCCAAAACCTACCCTTGAGGTTAATAGCCATGTATGGTCCATCTAACTCACCAATTCAACTACACCTGAAACACCATATTAATTATTATTATTATTATAATCACACAATCAAATTCTTGGTGCTTATTACAACATATATATATATATATATATATATATATATATATATATATATATATATATATATATATATATATATATATATATATATATATATATATATATATATATATATATATATATATATATATATATATATATATATATATATATATATATATATATATATATATATATATATATATATATATATATATATATATATATATATATATATATATATATATATATATATATATATACAAACATTTGAAATTAGTGAAAATCAACAGACTGAAACTCATCATTGGAAGCAGTTACTTAACATCCATAACAATTCTTTGAGAGACTCTTTGAATCTCGACTTGACTTCCCTAGATGTGTTGGACAATGGTCATGACGTGCCCCTTGATTATGAGAGATTTGTCATTAGAAGCGTCTTTCCATTTGAAGTGGTTCTGTTTGAGAGAGCTTTCATTTATTGGATATTCGTTGTGTGAATTTCTCTGCTGTCAAACAAATAGCCATATGCAAACAACGGTATTCAAATAATGCAAAGTTTATGCTTGTCTTGAAATTTTAAAAATACGTTTTAGCAAGTAAAGAAGTTTTGTAAGAAAATTCAAACTCAAGATTTAGGGTAAAGCCTTACAGAAGTCAGGATACCTTTTGTAACAGTATGCTTTCGAACTAACCCATGCTTCAATTAGGACTTTTGAAGGGTTGTAGCATGGCTTGGTTCACGGTTTAAGAAACAAAGGATAAAGGCTCAAAATGTGTTTGTACCCACCCGCTCTTCGTGATGTTTTTCAGTCCTAAACTCAGCTAATTGTGTGTTTAAACTCCAATTTAGTATGGAATGGCGCTTTAGTGATGGTTCAAACAAGTTAAGTTTGTCAGAAGGCAGTCATTTTTGCAACATTTTTCATGTTGTTGAGGATTTATAGTGACCTCTTTCTTTTGATTTATTATCCCTGATTTTTGTCTGACTATTCTTGTTTTTGAGATTACAGTCAGCGGGATGCCCCCGTTTTCTTAAGTATCCTTTGTAGGATTTGACTTAGTGGGTTTTTCTTTTTGAGAGATAATAACTGCCTATGTGATAGGGATCCATCACCGTCTTTTGATTCCCGAGGAATGTTTTGATGTCATTCGTTGTATTATAAGATCAGATAACTGAGAGACTACCTTGCCCCAGGTTTTGACTAAAGGTTTCAATTTGTGTTAAAACAGAAAACTTCTACTTCTTTGGCTCGAAGGGGTTGACTAGGGATTATCTTCCTTATAACTCCAGTATTTAGGATTTGAAAGAACATATATACATCGTCTGCAAGGTCTGTTCAAAAGCATATTGTATGAGATTATGGCATTGTTTTCGTCATTCCCCCTCTAAAGGCTTGTAACTTTTAGCAAGAGTTTAATGTCATAAAGAAAGTAAAAACAGTATAGTTTAAATATAATGAAAACGAATGGATTAATTCAAGACAAACATATGCAGTGCATTAATGAAACAAAGTTTGACATTAATAGATAAGTGTTTGAACAAGCAAAAGAAATTACAACTGAAAATTCAAAGGAAAAGAAGCCTCTTTGTCTGAACTTGTCACTTTAGGTGGTGAGCCTTTGAGGGACGGCTAGAGAATTAAGTCTGGCCATCTTGTGTGAACTCCAACATTCCTTTGTTGATCAGGTTTTGAATCTTGTACTTTAGCGCCCAACAATCGTTTGTATCATGTCTAGGACTATTGGAATGATAGGCACACCTGGCATTGAGATTGTAGCTGGGAGAAAAAGTTTTGGGATTTGGATGAGGTCTTATTGGCGTAATCAGATTCATCATCAGCATGTGTTGCAAAGCTTGAGACAATGGTATATTGATGTTGGTAAACTGTCTTTTGTGCTCGCTTTGCCTTTGCTGATTTTCCGGTTGATGTTGATGAAGTCGTCGTTGGGCTCGTGACGTGGAAGCTATTTGGGAAGGTCTTCTCTCCCTTAAACCGACTTCTTGTCTCATGGGAGGCTGAATGATAACTTGATCCCCAATTCTAGATGTTTGCCCCATTTTGTTACACCCGTCTTGACAAAGCTTGTTGATGAGGGCTCTCAGCTCTTCTTGTCCCCGAGCCAAGTTCTGGATGAGAGCCATCTGGCCCACCAGTTGTCCCATCATTTGGACTTTCATTACGGCTATCTCGGCTTATAGCCGCTCCAACTGGTCATTTCTATCGTCCCCGAAATTTCCCATGATCATGCCCCTGGTGAGGAGTGCCTTCACCTCTTCTTGTCCCTTGGATAGGTTTAAGAACATCTCTTGAAGTTGGGCATTTTGAGCCTGGATGTCTTTCACCATTTGTTCTATATCCATCTTACTGAAGTAAATAGTAGGAAGATAAGGAGACCCGTATGGGAGAAACCTATCATGATATGATGCATGATATGTGGATGTATGTTTTCAAGGATCTCGCGGGATTAGTAGTCACTTACAGTTTTGATTGGAGAACTTTGTATCGGTGGATGTGCTC